TGGCATTAACTTTACGTCTCTATTACCACTGTCTCTTATACACATCTAGATGATTGTCAGATCAATATAATACGCCCTCCTCTTATAAGCATTTGGACAAGACGAGATCTCAGAAGAGATCGTTTTTCTTTCGTTCTTTCTTTCTTTCTTTCTTTTTATAAATAAATCATGATATAATAAATAAAAACTCTAAATCCTTTCGCTTTTAAGGTTTAGCTTTATTTAGGATGCAGTTGATTCCATCGGACTTTTTGATAAACATATGCTATCATTTTCTTTTTGCAATATCTCCTACACAGTCCAATCCAATGCCTTTTTAATCATATACATCACAACACCTATAATAATGATTCTGAAATTAGGCCTATATTAATTTATTATTGGTTTAATTTGATTAATTTATTTGATATGAGAATCAAACTAATTATGGTTGTTATGGTTATTTAATAACGTATTTATATACCGGTACTTGTTTCGTTGTTGTACTACACACCAATACATTTTTTATGTTTGCTTTGTCAACATTTTCTACATTATGCGGTAATACGAATTCCATCTATTATTCTAGAGTATTCTGAAATCCAATTGTGTTTCAAGTTCAATTTGTTCACAATCTGTTGCTCAGAAATAAACATATTTTACTACATCTTTTATTTTATAAATTTCTCATATATTTTTGTTTTCCCACAAACTTTTTTTAATGATATAATTGTACTTTTCTGGGTAACAAAATTGGTTTTTATTAACACATACGATTGCTTTAGCAACCAAATTAGAAAATGGTGGTAATTTTAAATCGTCTGGAAGCTTTGTAAGATGCCACGTGTATTGGTCCAATAGGGTTATAGTTGATTGGCCAAACGGTTAAGTCAGGGGCACCATCTATGATATCTGCTCTGGTTCGAACGGCTCACTCGCCTGTGGTTCAGGTGGTGGAACAATTGTTCTTAAGGCTTAAGTCTTCTCGGATAAGAACTTTAAACCTTAAGCCCAGTGTACGCCCAGTACATACTTCGGGTAAAGTAGGGGGTTACCCCTGATTACTGGTCTATTCAGTCCCCTGTTGTTTAATGGATATGCCACGTAAGATAGTGATTAAGGTCGCTGATTGGCATATCCTTGGCGCTCGTGTCTAAAGAAATGAAAATGAAATACCGGTAGTAATTTAATGGTACAGTAAATCCAAACTGATGGCGTACAAAGACGAACTGTCCTGTTTGCACCAGGAACTACCGATAAAAGAGTAGTGTATAAACACAAATGATTAAAGAAATTAAATGGGAAATCCTTTCGACACGTTGGAAACATTTTAAATCAAGGCCCCATAATTTTTTTTATTAGTATATCACCCCCTCAATCATCACTTTTGGGGAAATTCTGATATTTTTCTTTTTCAATCAACATATATTTTTATTTCAAATGGTCGTTTTTCCATCTTTTTTCACTTGAACAGCTCAGGATTTCTTGCAAATATGTTTACCGGTACAACAAAAACATATTTTAAAAATCTAAATTTGATTCCATTCTTATGACTTTTTATATGTGTCCATTGATTTCCTTGTGAATATCGGTAAAATGGGGGCGGGGTTGGCAAAAAAAAAAAACAAAAAAAAAACCTTCCTCCCTCATCAGTTTTTATTCTTTGATAGGGTGATAGACTAATATATTAATACATTTTTATGGGGCCTAATCCTGATGTATAGATCTATTCATAGACTCGTTGCCATCACATCCTCTGACATATAATTCCATACTGGTCCTACTAAGTCATCCCAGCTCAAAAAATCAGAAAGATGTAGTGCCAATACAAACATATACAAATTTTCTTCTTCCCACAAACAATAAATTACTGGAACTAAGTTGACGTCCCGATTACCAATCTACCCCACTGTGAATTCAAAACAGCACTAATATACTAAAGTAATTAATTAAATATGCTTAATTGTCAGGTCAAGATCATGTTTACTTGGTATTGGTAAACATGTAGCCCAATGCTATCCTCTCTCATGAGTAAATGTTAATTGTATATTATTATTTCAATCTATAGAAAAAGCATTTATTCCAAATTTTTATTTTTTTATTTTATTTATCATTTAATTTCTAAATAAAAAAAAATAAGTAAATAACATTTATAACTAACCATCATCATCATCATCATCATCATCATCATCAGCAGCAGCAGCAGCAGCAGCAGCAGCAGTAGTAGCAGTAGTAGTATAGTGGCTGTTGGCTCTCTGGTGGGATGATCTTTCCTTACCCCACTTTCGCAATTCCATCTGTGCCTGCACGGACTCAACATTGAGGTCCAGTGCAGTATCCATACAGATACAGATAATATTTCCATTTTGCATCATCATCATTCTCATAAAAACGTGTAAGCCAGCAGCCACTTTATTTAAAAGCCGTTACTTGTGACCTAAAATCAATGACAAGCCCACCCTGACTATAATCTACATAGGCCTACATAGTGCTTTTAATTTTGTGTTTTATATTTTTCCGTATGAATTTAAAAACTATTATTGTTAATTATAATTTTGTATAGGCCTATCAAGAATACTTGATAGGGCGAGTGTTTTGACAATAGTAATCCTACCAAAATAATTAAATTCCTTTTCTCCCATACAACTAGTACTTTTTTAATGAATCAATATTTTTTTCCAATACTTTTAGTAGCAAAACTCTTTATCGTGGCCGACATAAATTGCAAGAATTTTAATAGGATTTAGTGGTCATGATATCTTCACTTTGTTTTTGTCTACATAACCATAATGCATTATTTTTTTCCTTATTTAATTTGTAATCCAGATAGGCCTACCTTGCTAATATCTATACTTTTTACAATACTTTTTTATTTTTTAGAAAATAACCGTTTCATCTGCAAGTTGTGCAATTTTAACAATACTTTTGTATCTTTTTATAGAAAAAAATTAATCTAACAACTGTTACGTTGTTAAAAATTCTAGGTGTCCCCGTGACAGGTGTCCCCTACTACTGCGCATGCGCTTTAACCATAATTGTCATGTTTATTCATGATTTTTCATGTTTATTCAATATTCTTCACGCGTTAATAATTATAGCATTTCTGTCACGGGGACAACTACAATTTTAGAACAACGACATTCTAATTTTCGTTGCAAGTATTTCGATGACTTTAGTAGTGCGGAAAGGGGATCCTTGACTTATGCCTTGTTTATATTAAAACTTTCTGATACCCAGCCATTGTGAAAATGCTTTCAGTTTTCTTATACATGGTTTAAACCCATGGAGTGAATAAATCCCCAAGTTTTAAGTACCGGAAACGGCAATGGCAATTTAATTAATTTTGTTAGTGTAGTGAAAAATTCCAAATAGCTCAATGAAGAAGATGTTTGGCCTAAGAACATAGGCCTAAGCATTTTTTACATTACATTTATTCCCCAACATTACATTTATTCCCCAACAAAATCTTCCATTTCCCTCGACGTTGTGGGGTGGGAACTATACTTTCCGGACGAATCCAAAATTCCACAAAGGTCCGACTGCCGGGGTTGTTGGAACGCAAAATAGGCAGACCTACTTCCACGAAGGGGCGTAGTCTTTAAAAGATTCGAGCCTAGTACTTAATTAAGCCTTACCTTCTTGCATACAAAATCTGGGCAGTCGGACCTCTTGCAGTTTTAATACAATCAGTTTCGGGTTTCTGAACAAATAAACGCTCTTTTTGGCTAAAGCCAGAGTGCCTCGAACCTTAAGGGCCCCGGATATTATTCGATATTTTGCCATGAACATGGGCTCAAAACCTACCCGAACGGGGCCCTTTAAGCACCAGAGCGTGTAAAAAAATCTAAATGCGCTGTTTAAACTTCAAAAACGCCGGAAAAAATGTACCCTCTCGGTTTTATCCTACAGAGTAGCAGGGCCCGAAGCAGCCTCAGCCAGGGGACCGGATATGCCGCTAAGCCAATGAAAGTGAAGGAGAGTTAGCCCAGCGTTGATCCATCCTAGCCTCTGTTATTACCATTTGAAGGACCAAGGGTAGACCTAAATATTTCTTGCGGACTTTGGTGGGTTATCATAATTGTGTCACAAACCAGAAAAAAAAAAAAAAAAAATTCACATGTACTGAAATACTACACTATTGTGTATCCAATAAATTATTGTGTATCCAATTAAAAAAAGTCTTTAAGATTACATTATCAGTATTATATATTATCAATACGTTTTTATTCTGTACTGTGTTTTAATGTACGAATCTGTGTTTTTTTAAATGTTTTATTGTGAACGCAACACTTGATAGTGTGTGCCACTTTTTTAAAAGTGTATGTTTCAGTAAAGTTATTACTGTATTATTATTATAGACTTTTTCTTATTACCATTAGGCCTATATAATATTAATGATAAAATTAATACTAAATTATAGATATGCCTAGGTCTATGCTAATAATGATAATAATTATATTAAAAATGATTATGATGATAATAAAAAATATAGTATTTGTCATCTGAAGGACCCAATGTAGACCAGGCTATAACTGAGATAGGTGCCACTTGGAGAGGTAGAAATTCTCATATGGTTTTTCTAGACCAGTTTTTTATGGGGAATCAGAATATGTGAGGTAAAAGGGGTGTAACCTGAGAACTT